TGTAGTTTTTTCATGAAAGTTGAGAAGGCCTGGTTTATGGCCTTTTGTTTCTTCATGAGAAGGTGTGACACTGCCTAAATGTTTCTTACTGTGAAACACACGGAACGTGAGGCTGCAGTCAGGGTTGTTTCTGGTGTTTTGATAACGGCTTGCATGCTGCTTTCTAGTTATCTGTTTGTCTGAGGGACAAAGTTATATCATTTCTTCCACTTTGTGTTACTGTAATGGTTGGTTTGATTCAAAAATACCTTGTGGGCTCTTTATCATGTGCAAAATATGTTCCTGTCACATTAAAAAAAAAACCACAACAAACCAAAAACCCCAAACCAACAACAAACCACAATTACAGGTGCAACCACAGTTCATTTACTGATATTTGATAACCGTATCATTTCACACAGGATAAATATTCTTGTGTTGGTACAGGTAACATATATAATGACCATGTCATTATGTATTTACAATGAGCTAACTTGAAGGTGATTCTGTATTTACACTTGGTGTTTAAAAAGAACTTAAGTTTTTAATTAGTTGGTTATTGTCTCTGTTAATGCAAAAAAAAAAAAATCTTCAGACATTCATAGTAGTTGGGGAAAACAGATTTAACTCTTGATCACTTTTCAAAAACATTTCTTACTAACCAGCATTTTATTTTTTTAATTTGCAATTAATTCTTATTCTCTTCTCTTGCATGGTATAAGCAGCTGAGAGCAATGCCTCAAATAACCAGAAATGACCTTTTGTTTGTTGATACAAATTGTATCTCTTTTTCTTGATTGTATAAAAACTGTGTATAAAAATAATAAAAAAAAAAATCTCTAGATTAACTTCAGTATTACATTTTCACCACAATGTTTGTGACACCATGTGTCACAGGGAAGTAGCCCATGAGTAGTTATGGATCTTTTTTATTTAAAATGGGCACTTGTAGTTTATAGACAAACAAGGACAACTTTTCAGAACCAGTTTATTATGTGCACAGATACTGTGTGTACACCTCAAAGCATTACATTAGTTATCCTTAGTCTATTTATTAAGCAGATACATTCTTGCACTAAACTTTATGTAAAAATGTTGTTAACTCATCTGCATGTGTTTAAAATGTAACAATAATTGCTATAGACCCTGCTTTATTCTTAACAGATTAATTTATAAATTATTTAGGTATAAAATGAAGTTTATTGTGCACTCACATTTTCCATCTTGCATGGAATTAAATATTTGTATGTAGAAAAATGTTCCCTTTTTCTCCAATTATAAAGATAAGCTATTTTAAGAGCGGTTTAGTAGGTGTTTTTGATGTTTCCTAATGTGGAAAACTGAGCAGAAATTTCTGTATGAAGTGTTGGGTGGTTGTGGAGATACTCATTTTTGTAGGCTTTTTGTGTAGTCATTTTAATTTTCACTAACTTTTGTCGTACTGGTAGAAAAATTCCTTTTTAAACAATGGGAATGCTATGCCAATACAAACCCAGCATACTATTTCCCTAAGGCACTTTGAAGGCAAATTGTCTTTTTCTAAGAAGCTATTAGCACCTGTCACGCACAGAGTTACAGACTGGGCAGTGTAGCCTTGTGCAAATAACTTGCAAATTTTGTGCTTGTTTAGTCCTCCTTAGAGGTAACAAAACTTTTGTATGTGATGTAGTCTTTCCTAATCAACTACTGTAAGTGATAATTCAGTCATGCACATCGGTTTTCAGGTATGTTTACAAGCCAATTCAAAACACTGACACGTTCATTAATCTTCAGCGCATAAGCTTAGATTTCTTCTTACATGGAAGAGTTGATCTTATTAACACCTGATCATAACTGTCTATATTGTAAATATAAGACTTTGTATAAATGCTCTTTTTGAGAGCATGGTATTTAAATGTTTTTAAAACTGTAAGAGAACAGTTCTAGAAACTGTATTTTAATAAAATCTATGAAATTACAATTCTAGATGAGGAAAAAAAAAGTGGGAAGGTAAAATCCTGGCCTACTGCAATCGGCAAGAGTTAAGCAGTAGACTTTAGTGCTTTACTGGGGCCAGAGCATTCTCTGGGAGTTCTGATTTACTGATCTTTCATCTTCAGCTATATTACTTTCACATAATTTGTCACTTAAAAGTGTGTAACCTTAAATTCATGAATCAAAAATCAAATGCTTTATGAGAGGCCAGTCCAAGTTATTTAACAGTTTTTTTGTAAGAACTACATGTCAGTAATATATTAAATTGTACATATAGATGATTTCACTACTGTTAGTCCTGTTGTTGTCATACTGAGCTACAGTATTGGCTTTATTCATTTGTAGAATTAAACATTACTGTTTAATTGTTGTAAAATTTTATAAATCTCTTTGGGTTTTTTTGGTTGACCCAAATATAATGTAAGTCTTAATGACAAAATGAGTGAAAATGGATGTTCAACCAGTATGTGGTATTCGTAAATCTCTGTAGTAATAAGCGTGCACTGCTCTAGTTGCTGCTGCATGTAATTCATTCACTAGCATGAGTCTGTTCAGCTTTTGTAAAAGTGTTTTAACTGTAAACTTAAAAATAGTAAGGTGTGAGTATGGTTGCTTAGAACAAGCAGAAGGATCCTCAGTAAAAAAACAAACCCAAACCATCTATCTAGGTGAGTGTTGTGTGTCCCCCCCCCCCCCCCCACCCTTTCA